GGGATAGAGAGCTAGAAACATCGATGAGAGAGAAACATCGATCAGCTGCCTCCTGCACATGTCCTACCGGGGATGTGCCCGCAACCAAGGTACATGCCCTTGACCGGAATCGAACCTGGGACCCCTCAGTCCGCAGGCCGACGCTCTATCCACTGAGCCAAACCGGTGCTGGCTTGACCTGTCACTATGACACACACTGACCACCAGGGGGCAGACACTCAATGCAGGAGCTGCCCCCTGGTGGTCAGTGTGCTCCCACAGCAATCTCCTGTGGCCAGCCAACCTTCTGCAGTCCCTCCTCCCAGCCGGCCAGCCCTGACTGGGACTAGGCGAGATGGCCTCGATCACTGGTCAGGCCTAGGAACCCCACCCATGCACGAATTCGTACACCGGGCCTCTAGTTATAAATAATTATTGCATAGCAGAGTATATTATAGCATTATACAGCATGTGCTTCCCATAATTCAGATTGCTTTGAGAGGTATAGAGACCATTGTACCCCATTTTACCTATGGGTAAACCAAGACTTAGAGAAGATATGTAACTTGCTCAAGGCCACATAATTAGTAATGTCACAGTAAGGATTCATATTTAAACGTGGTTGATTCCAAGTGCTGTGTGATTTCTCCTGTATTCTACTGCTTACATGAGGTATCTGAGAGCTATACCAAAAATCTGCCAGTATATACAATCTTATCCCAAAGAAAATGCGAGACATTCAGTAAAAACTAAATGTAGATTTGCTTAGAGTGAAGTCAGTGACAACCTTGAAAACATTTGAAACTGGAGTACATTCTTATGAAAGTTTCAAGCTTTCCCTAAAATATTCAGAAATACTAGGATCATTTTTTTGTTTTTTAGACATATCTTCAATGTGGGATTTTAATTGAAGGAACATCCCCCAACTTCTTAGATACTTCAGAGTAACTAAAATATAGCATGATTCGTACAGCATTTCAGATGAGATGTCTTTTTTGATGATGTTATTTTTTTTTTAATTTATTTATTTATTTTTTGGTGATGTTATGGTACTTGACCTGGGGACTATGTTGTCAACTGCTAAGGGTGCCCTGAAACCTCCATTCTTTAAAACGTTGGCAGAAACAGGAGGCCCAATTTTTTCGGTATTTATTTTTGAATATTTGCAGAATACAGTTACGTGTAGCAAACATTGTCAAGGCAAGCTCCTCTCTCTTTTCAGGCTACTCGACATGCAGAAATGGTGGCCATCGACCAGGCCCTAGACTGGTGCCGGGGGAGCGGCCGGAGCCCCTCGGCGGTGTTCGAGCGCACGGTGCTGTACGTCACGGTGGAGCCGTGCATCATGTGCGCAGCTGCCCTCCGCCTCATGAGTATCCTTGGGCTAATGTCTGTACCCTTCCTGTGTGAACTTGAAAGTGGCCGGACAGGTAACCTGTCCCTACAGAGACGTATGAAACAAATTCTACGAGGTGAAGGCCAAAAAGCTTTAGGAAGTTTTTTAAATAGTAAAATAACCTTTTTAAAAAATGTCTATAAACATGTAACTAGTATATAAGCTAGAGATAGAAAAGCTTAGCACTAATTTGAACTGTAATAGAAGAATAAATCATAATTTAAGTTAAAATAGGATAAAACTACATAAGGAAAGGTCTGAAAAAAAAAATGCACCTAAGGCTTGCCTTTGGATAATAGATTTTGGTGATTTAAAAATTTTCTTTCTCCGTTTATATATTTGTTATTTAATTTTTTAAAAATATATTTTTATTGATTTCAGAGAGGAAGGGAGAGAGAAAGAGAGATAGACACATCAACGATGAGAGAGAAACATTGATTGGCTGCCTCCTGCATGCCTTCTACTGGGGATCGAGCCAGCAACCCAGGCATGAGCCCTTGACTGGAATCCAACCTGGACCCTTCAGTCCACAGGCCAATGCTCTATCCACCTTGCCAAACCACCTAGGGCCATTTATAGGTTTTTATTCATTTACTTTTGCCATAAATAACTATTATGATATATGACAAATTTTGTCAGAAGTCAATACAAATTAAAGAACAAACCAATACATTATGATATCGTTGTAAATAAATGGGAAATTGATAGTTACAGCTCTTTGTATTTCATAGAGTAAGTGACACAAATACTGAGTGCTGCAAGTTAGTCTCTAAAGATTTAAGAAATGTATGTAATAATTTAAAACTCAGTTTCACACTTGCATGTTTTTATCTACATATTTTACTGTGTATGGGTGAAACATTTGATCACTTTAAAAAAAATACAGAGGGTTTTGAGTCTGATAAAATGTACAATCTTGATAAAGAGGCCAGTTATGGTCAACAGGATTCTGTCCCCATCCTGTCGTACAGAGTGGTTCAGCTTTAGCCGTTTTGTACGGGGCCACAGGACATATTTTATTTGGGGAAGTCACAGGTAACCATATGTTATCTTTACAAGGTGAAAATCTCTGGATTAAATTCCTGCCTCTTTGTTGGCTCTGATTCTCTAATGATTCCAAAACAATTGATTTAGGAAAAACCAGAGAGAACACCAAACTGAACATTTGCCAATGAGATATTTAGTTTTCATTCTCTTTGCAATTGTGAGATACTAATTTCTAAATCCTTTAAACCTCTTTTGTGTAACTGCATTGCATGATTTTTAAGTTTAAGCCTCAGTTTAGTTGTTTTTAAGAGTAGCATGAGCGTTCCTCTCCAGAATGGCTGGTGTAAATCCTAGTTTTGTCTTGAACTGCACATTCTCTGTAGGACCTTAATTCTCTCACATAAATCCCGCTGGTTGTGTATGGCTGTCAGAATGAACGTTTTGGTGGTTGTGGCTCTGTTCTAGATATTGCCTCTGCTGATTTACCAAATACTGGGAGACCGTTTCAGGTAACATGAACTGTTACACTTTCTCTTTCTTTCTGATGACTTTGATCTCATCATGGGCTTGTGAATGGTGAGCATGTGGTGGGTATACCAGAAACCATGATAGAACTAGACAGGCTCTCGGGACTGCTGGTCGAGTTCAGTGTGAGTGACAGGCAGTCATTTCCGGGTGCGTGCTCAGCTCAGAATCAACCGAACCTCTGTTGGAGGAGAGTGCCCAGCCTTCCGAGGGATCTCCTGACAACCTTCGCCCAGGCCGGGAGGCATGCCCGAGGACACTGCCGCTGTTGGCGTTTTCACTCCGTGAGTGTTCCCGGCTCCCTGCTCTACCAAGTTTGTGTGAAGCTTGGCCCCTGACAGTGACAGTAGATGCTGTTTACCATAAACACAGTGTTTTTGCACAAATTCAATAATTTTGTTCGATTGCCGCATACTATTTTTGGTGCGTAGCAATCAATACCTGTATTTTTATATTTTCCCTGCCCTTGATGTCTGAGCGGGTAGTTCCAGTGGAGTCCTGGGGGCACAGGCCAGCGAGGGTGAGGTTGAGGAGGAAATGAGAGCCCCCAAAGTGAAGGCCATGATTCTGAAAAATTCTCAGGGAGCAGCGGGGGAGCAGCTTGCCTGGGCACAGGGAAGAAGGGAGGTCATTGGGCTGTTTTCCCCAGCTTTATTGAGCTATTGTTGACATCTAGCATTGTGTAAGTTGAAGCTGTAAAACATGATGATTTGATACATGTATATATTGTGACAAGTTTACCAAAATAAGGTGAGTTAACACATCCTTCACCTCACATAGTTACCATGTTGTCATTGTTGCTCTGGTGAGAACATTTAAACTCTACTCTCATAGCAACTGTAGTATATCTAGGGTATTATGCAAAGTCAGACAGAAAAAGACAAATACTGCAGGATTTCACTTATATGTGGAATCTAAACGTGTTGAACTCGTAGGAGGTTATTTGTTTTGATGGGGAAAGTTTATGCAGCCTCTGTAGGCACAGGAGAAAGGGGCTCATTTTGAGCAGCAGACCGAGCCTGCCAGCCCCCTGTGCTGCTGCTCACTGGGTCCCTCCTGTCCTGTATGCTGCCTCCAGGCGGGCCTCCCTAAAGTTTCTGCTCTTACCCTTTCATGCATCTCAGAAGGGTGCAATGTATCAAGTTCAAACTCCTGCGACAAGCTTTCAAAGCCCTATATATTTTGACTTTGTTTTATCTCTAATTTCTTTCCTTATACTCCCTTAATAATCACCCCTACCCCATCAGCTGGTTTCCTCACATACAACCCAAGCTTGTTCTTATTCTTTCCCTAATATGTTCTGTTTAGCCTCTTTAAATGTTCTCTATCATTAAGGCAAGTTCAAGTTTCAGATCCTTACGTTACCACAATTTCGCTTTCTTCCATGTTGTTCTTTTCTCCCAATTAGGTACCAAGATAGCACAAAGTGAACACTTAAAAAATCCTCTATAGTAAGTAAGGATTGACAATTTTTTTCCCCTGTAAGGAGCCTGATAGTAAATATTTTAATCTTTGTGCGCCATTTATGTCTCTCTCGCATATTCTTATTTCTTTAACACTTTAAAAATATAAAACCCCTTTTTAGCTAACCATTTTTAGCTGTGGACAGCCAACCATAGCTCTATAGTATCAAACACTTAATGGGCCACAGTAAATAAGAGCAGATAAAAATAATTAATGCTTAATGAGCCCTTATGATGTGCTAAGTACTTGACAGGCATGATTTTATTTAATTTTATTGAATCCTCACAAATTCTTCTGGGTTAAATTGCTATAATTAAATACATTTTACATATGAGGAAACTGAGGCATAGAGACTTTAAGAATCTTACCCAAGATCACATAGTTCATAACTTCAATAGTAGTTAATTGAGAAATAATAATTAGTTGATTGAGAGTGATATTTGATAGGCCAGATAGCTATTCATTTGGAAACATGCTTCCCGTGTTACTAATATCCACAAAGTGTATTAACATGATCTTTTTATGTAATTATGTATATATTGCCTTTTTTTTATGGAACACAACACACATTATCATAGGCCTCTGTTCATTCTGAACTTTCTCTTTTCATCAGTGCATTCCGGGGTATCGGGCTGAGGAAGCAGTGGAAATGTTAAAGAACTTCTACAAACAAGAAAATCCGAACGGTCAGTGTTCCCTACTGTATATAAAGTACCTCACTTCAAACAAATCAGGACAAAGAGAGTCTGACACGACCTGCCTCTTCACCTTCTCTTTTTCTTTTCTGTCCTTCTCACAGCACCAAAATCAAAGGTTCGGAAAAAGGAGTGTCAGAGATCCTGAGTTTGTTCTAACAAAGGACTAATGCCCCTGGATGAAATTCTTGCCTGAATGCTGGTGACATCATCGAATCAGATGTTATATATCGTCCTTAACCTGTGGGAAAAATGGTCTCTCATCATTTCCTCTGTTAAAGGAACAAATGAACACTTTGACAAAGTCTGACAATTGCAATAAACTATTAATCAGTTTTTCCACAAGCTGGAAAGTAAAAGCTTGAGGTTTTAGAAATTAGTAAGCAGGACAATGCACTTCTTGCCAAAAGCATCACCAGTTCAGGACAGTGCTGTCAGAGCAGGTACCTGCAGGTGCAATTACCTGGCGTGTCTGCACCGGGCTGTGCCACTGCGGACCCCTGCCCCACGCCTGGCATTGCAGAATTGCATTCTTCATTCTTTGCAGCCACCATGTTCTCCCAGAGTGTTGGGGGCCCGTGACGTTCTTGGAAATTGTCTACGTTGCATACCTGTAGACCATGATTATATGGTCTTTTGAACAGATTTTTGCCTTTATAAAGCATTTAGAGAAAATGCATATTCTAAAACAAGTGCTTAAGTGTCATTTGAAATTGCAACATATTGCTAAAATAAAACCGTATTTGTGCCTTTTTTGAAGATGGATAATGTTAAAAATAGAAGATAAAAGCATAAAGGGGACAATCCCTTCTTTGTTATTGAGCAACTGTATTGGGAATCAGTGAACAAAACAAAGCATCCTGCCCTCATGGAGCTTATGTTCTAGCAGGGGAGACAGATACTAAGCAGAATAGATTATACAGCATGTGAGAGGGTGGTCCGGATTAGGCAAAAAGAATGGGCATGCCATTGGTGGTGGGAATGCTGGATGCACAATTATTTTTAAAAATATATTTTATTGATTTTTTACAGAGAGGAAGGGAGAGGGATAGAGAGTCAGAAACATCGATGAGAGAGAAGCATCGATCAGCTGCCTCCTGCACACCCCCTACTGGGGATGTGCCTGCAACCAAGGTACATTCCCTTGACCGGAATCGAACCCGGGACTCTTCAGCCCCGAGGCCGACGCTCTATCCAGTGAGCCAAACCAGCTAGTTATTGATTTTTTACAGAGAGGAAGGGAGAGGGATAGAGAGTCAGAAACATCGATGAGAGAGAAGCATCGATCAGCTGCCTCCTGCACACCCCCTACTGGGGATGTGCCTGCAACCAAGGTACATTCCCTTGACCGGAATCGAACCCGGGACTCTTCAGTCCCCAGGCCGACGCTTTATCCAGTGAGCCAAACCAGCTAGGGCTGGTTGCACAATTAAATAGAATGGTTACTTTGATCTGAAATCGTATACAGTTCTTTCTTTTTATAAAAATTCAGATTTAGAATTTAAAGTCTGAAATTGTACAGTGTGAACACAGCCCTGGAAAGGGTATCCACAGCAGGCACTCCCAGATATTCGCGCTGACTGGCGTTCAGTGATGCGGAGCTGGGCTGCAGTGCTCAGAGCTGGGCTGCAGTGCTCCTCGTCTGCCCAGAAGGGGGCCTCCACGTTCTACCGGAAGCCCGGCTCCAGGCCCTGGACAGCAGCTCCTCAGTTGCATTTCTTCAGTGGGTTCATTTCCTTGATACAAAGCATCTGTATTGTTGGTTCTGCCATTTGAGCGATGTCTCTGACTTGTTTGTTTTGAATTACATTACAGGCTGGAAAGTAATTGTGAAAGTCTTTTTATGTTGCTGAGAGAAGCAGCTAATCACAGTGACATGCTTCAGAGGATTTATAATTGCTCTATTTTGTACGTGTGCGTTTTTAACTGCATTTGAGTTTTATGGAGAAGAATAAGCATGATTTTAAATCTGTGTTACATGTAACTTCTCTTCAATTTCCCCTTCTTTTAAGATTATCCTCTCGTTAAATTTTAGTGCTTTGACTAGTTTATTCCTATTTGTAGTCGGTCATAATTCATTTCTGGCTCCTTATGCTTTTCGGCAAGCAGACGTCATTGCACTTATTGTCTTCATATCATTTTCTGGAGGATTATTTGCAGACAAAAAAACTTGGAATCTTTCCTCCAGAGAATACCACCCAGTATTTCTGGTTAAGCATCGTATGCCAAGTAGGTTCTTAGTAAACAAGTGTTAAATAGAATTATTAATTGGAATTTTGGGGGAAATGAGCAATAAAGAGACTATCTAGGGTAAAAAGCCAAAACCAAAAATGCTATGTGGCTATTTTAGCCCAGAGATAGTCACTACTAAAAGGATCTAGAAAGTAATAAAACTATAAACAGGAAAGGATAGAAAAGATTTACCAATATATATATATGTTCTGGTTTTGTTGTGTTTTGGAGAGTGGGTATTTTCTAATTCTTAAGCATGGCTGGAAATTTTAATTTTGGTTATGACCTTTTTAATTACCCAGTGACTGACTTAGAAAAGTCTCCTAAATTTTTGGTCTTAGGCACAGTTCCCTGCCTAATTATTATTTTTTTGGGGGGGGGGGGAGTCAGTATAGATGGTGTATTGCAGATTGGAGGTTGGCACCTCCTGTGCTGGTATAGGACCATTATGGGGTCATAGACATTAAGGCTGAGGAATTCTGACGGCAATTTCGAGGTGGTGGGGAGGAGTTGTGGATATCTGATGAGGCGATCCTGCTTTCTGAGTACTACATTCTCTAGCTACTTAGACATCGCTTAAAATATTAAGATGCTCCAGTTAAAAAGATTGACTCCAAATGATTGATGCTGATAGTGACTATCTAAGAGACTAGCTGAGAGACTTGCTTTGTGTATGAGATAATTCTGGAAGTTGTGGGATGCAAAAAGGTTTTAGAATTTCTACCCTATTTAGAGAGATTACTGGCAAGTGATTGCATATATGTTGCTAGAGTATCCAATGTTTACTGGTTTTTGCAATGGACTCTGCTGAGAATGGGTGGTATATAATGCTCTGGCAGGCTTCAATCACTGATAAGAGATCATGTTAAAATATCTTTGCACTTTCATGTTACTTGGCGCAAGCATCACTTCCTGTGTTGTATTTGGAATATCATGGAGACATATTAGACAGCCAATGTAGGCAAGAACTGTTCATTTTTCCTTAAATTCTCTGTTTGGAAATAATTTCAAATGATAGCAAAGTTGCAAAAATACCCATGTATCCCTTATTCTTCAAACCTATTGTTAACATTTTACACCTTTAGCTTTATTATTTGCTCACTTTCTTCTTTCTCTATTGATATATAATGGTTTTTCTGAACCATTTGGTACAAAATTACATGCATCATACATCCCGGTCCTTTACCCTGAAATGTTTCAGTATTTCCTAAGCATAGGATATTCTCTTATATAATCACATTGATAGATTACTTTTATCTACTATGCCGCCCCCTACTCTCCCCTGCAATGTTAGATCCATTCTGGGGTCCAATATCATGTGTCTCATGTGTCTTTAGCTTCTTTTAGTCGAACATTTCCATGGCCTCTCTGTTTTTTTAGGACATTTAAAAAAATCATACAGTCCATCTGCCCCAACTTTTCCTTTTTTCCTTCATAATAGGGTTTAGTCATGATTAGATTCAGGTTATGCCTTCTAGGTGAGGTTATGTTCTCAGAGTGTCATATCTGGAGGTACCCAAAAGCCATCTTCCTTCACCTGGTGAAGATTTTATCTGATGCTACACTATATAATTACTAGAGGCCCGATGCATGAAATTTGTGCAAGGGTAGTCGTTGGTTGGCCCCACACACCTGCCGCAGAGCCATCAGCCGGGTGGCCTGGGCTTCCCTCTTTGGGACAATTGCGGAGCCCTCCCCATCCCCGATCGATTGAGGAGCACCCCCACCCCCAATCACCCTGTAGAGGATGGCCTGGGCCTCCCTCTGTGGGGCAATCATGGGGCAATGGCAGGGCCCCCTGACCAATTGGATCGCACCCGACTTGGCTGGCCTGGCGCCAGTGTGTGTCATAGCGTGGTTGTGGTTTTCTGGACGGTCGTTCTGCTGTTCAGTCAATTTGCATATTACACTTTTATTTTTATAGATTGTGTGTTTTTTATTTTTTTCATTTTCAATGAATAAACAGTTTGGATTGGGAAACAGTTACATTGTTTTTTAAGTGTATTTGACATTGGCAGAAAGGAGGGGAAGAAAATTAATGACATAAATTTCAAAGCAACTGTTAAACTATTCGATTGTATGCTTTATTTTTTATTATGTTTGCCAAAATTTACAAAATTCCCTAATAAGACAGTTTTAAAGTGGGATGTCTTAATAAAAAATTGAAAGAAGTATCAGAAATTAGTTCTTTCTCTCTTGACCGCCTCAGCAAAACAAATAATTATATCAACTTAATTATATCTGATAAAAATAGAGTTTGGGAAAATAGGCCTAAGATGTTTCTGGAATCACAGATGGCCCGTAGTGATCCAATAGGATGTGTAATTCTAGGTAGGTAGTCATTTGGCCATAAAATAGTTTTCTTGGGTTTCCATAGAGACATCTAGACTTAAAATGTTTCAAGCACTGCTACGTTTAAAATGAGCATCAGTAAAAATAGCAAAAGCCAAGGCTCTTAAAAAAAAAATTAAAAATGTTTTAAAGTAGTGAGATTCCCGGTTAAAAATCCACGTTGAAGCCAAAGCTTGTCCTTCCCCGTCATTCTGCAGCAACTGGAGAAGAGGCACCGAGAACTGGTTTCCCTGCCTTTTGGCAGAGGAATGAGACTACATTGACTTCATCCATGAAGACAGCTGCCAACTATTTTCTAACCCATAACTGTTAATTGTATGTGGTGAGGGAAGGGGTGATGGGTGATGTTATTTTTATGGGTATAAGTTCTGGTGAAAGTTTGACATCTTTAGGATCTTACATTTTTTCAAGTGGAGTTAATAAAAACAGGCTCAGGGGATTACTTCTTACCTGATTTTTAAGTGAATGTTGCAGTTGAAGAAGCATGAACTTGGGAGTCTAGGGCAGGAGTTGGCAAGAATGGCCCATGGGCCGAACCCAGCCTGCTGCCTATTTTGGTACTACTCACAAGTTAAAAATGGCTTACCTTTTTAAAAGGTTGAAAAAAATCAAAATAATTTAGTGACTGGTGAGCATTAAATGAAATTTAAATTTCGGAGTCCATAAATTCAGGTTTTTTGGAACGCAGCCATGCCCATTTGTTTCTCTGTTGTCTAGGGCTGCCTCTGACAACAATGGCAGAATTGAGTGGTTGTGACAGAGACCTGTCTATGGCTCCCAAAGCCTAACTACTTCCTGTCTGGCCCTTTAAGAGAAGGTTTGCTGCCCCCTGGCCTAGAGATTCTAAAATGTTGAGGTTGGATTTCCAAGGTGCTTGTTCAAGTTCTGTGATTTTGGAACTGAATAATGTGGCTCATTGTGCAACTGTGGTGAATTGCTTCAGTACCATGATTTTTTAACATTGGTTTATAAATGTGAAAGAGAGATCCAAGACACTGACATATTTATTCCGCCTTAAAATATTTTGTTTTCTTATATACACTTTAAGAGAGTGGCAAGGAGAAAAGAATTTATCATTTTATTAGTGTTTCAAATAAACAATACATTTTATTTATAATCATCATAATAAAAATGCTATCAAGTATTTATCACCTTTAGGAACCGTTACTATAATG